TCCCTACCCCTGCTGGCCACACTATTTCTGACACATTGCCCAAATACTCAGCTGCAAGGAACACTGGCTATTCTAAGGAACACACCACGACTGTACCCATTGCAGGAGACATGCACATTGGCATTCTAGCCCTTTTATTTGCATGTAGAGAAATCCAGGGAAAACATAATTTCACCAGGATCAGGTATTAAGAATGGCAGAGCAGCAAAAAGCAAGGAATCTGGAGCTACGGTCTGCGCTTTAGCTAGCAGACGAGCAATGCTGTCTCTCCTTAAACCAGTATCATTGCTTGCTCCTAATACCAGGCAAAAGGGGTGGCACTTAAGAACTGCTTACCTCCGCACATATTTCAAATACTTGGGAATGATGCTTCACATCATCTTCACTTGACAGTTCCTTTAAATCATGGCCAGAACAAAATACAGGTCCTTCAGCTGCAAAACATTTCAGGAAAAGACAGTCTGTATTAACCAAGAAACCCGGGGTAGTAGCATATCAATGCCCCCATTAACGGCACAGAGGTGTCAATGGTCAAAAAAAAGGAGCTTCAGGAGGCAGTTTTGCACAAAGTTCTGAAATATTGCCTTCTGGGCTTTGTAACAACTTCAGACTTCCACAGTGCAACACTAAACCGCAGTAACACCCATAAACATTTTTAAAGGCCTAGTTTTATTTCCATTACAAGTTAACTCAGTTAAAAATGAGGCACTTCACACCTCTGAGCCCAGTTTCTTGTAAGAACACTATGCTAAACAGCTCCTTGGTTCAATGTAAACTACTCAGCTGGAGCAAGGATGGAGTGCTCTGCTCTCAGACTAATAAATACAGTTAGTCCCTATTTATTGTACCTAGCATTAATGATTAACTTTTGCTAAATAAATATCAAGATTTTTGTGTCATGGTGTTCAAAGCCACAATGGGGGAAAAAAAAAAGAAAAAAGGTTGTTCTGCTAGAGGAGAAACAGAAGGGTTGTTGGGGTATCTTTTCCTCCATGGCTAAAACCAAGAATCCTAAAAAGCATGCCCAGGGTTTGGGCAGCAAAAGAGCAGGCTTCTATGGACCTCAGTTTTGGATTTGCTTGCCTCCAGTGGCAGCTAAGATCAAAACACCCTTTGCGGGTACACTATCTTTACAACGGTCTTCCTTTGTTATGAGGGTATCTGCCATAAGAATAAACCAATCTGATGTTTTTGAACCCTGCAGAACTTTTCAGATATTTGTATGGATGTGACATTTCCAGCTACAGCTATGCAGATACAAACTTACCTATGCATTTTGCATTTGTTTCTTACAGACCAGATTATTGTGGCACGGTGTACCCAGAAATAACCACACAATTAACATCAGTCAGTTCATGGGGTCAGCAACACATATCTGGAAATTAATCACATCTGTGTTTGTGCCTCACTGAAGAAGAACCCACAGCAAAGTCTGTGTTAAAGACTCAAACCGCTCCCTGAGAAGTCTTTTATTTTCTTGAGATTTCTTCTTTTACATTCCATTCAGCAATGGAATTGGAAATCAACAGGAACATGCAATTTCTTTTTAAACTAAAACAAAAAACCAAATTAAACCATGCTCGCAAACTCCCAGACCACTGTGCTTCCAAAGAAGAACCTGAAATGTTTCACAAAATTTGTAACTGCTCTTTGAAGTGTTGAATATATATATTTAAACTCACCCCTGTGAAGTTAGCTTACTTCCACTCTTGTGCATGTGCACTAATGCACAGTGTTTTCCTCTGCGTACAGGACACTGCAGCATCCTAGGTTAATAAACCTATTTCTCCAAGATGTTTGGAAGGGGGACAGGGGAAGATTATCTTAAAATAGCAGAGGAAAAAAAGATGGCTTAAGAACAGCTCAAGTTTCATTATCTTTAAGTACTCTACAGGTTAATACCTACATGGAAGAAAACTGTAACAGGCTCTGAGAGAGAATGTTTTATAGATGCAGTATTGATATTATGGTCTCCTCTTCATCGGAGAGTTTTAAAAACAATTTTGACAAACTAGCAGCAAAGATAAGGAGGCTGATCCTGGCTTAGAGCAGGGAACAGCGCACATGATTTGAAGAAACCTTGTGAGCCTTGTTTACTTCTACCTGCACCGGCCACTGAAAGTAACAAGTGTCACATCAGCTCAGCCTGTTTCTGCATGAAAACCTGTATCTGGGAATGTTATTTATTTAGTTTGATAACTGTTAGAACCTGTTTACAGTATTCTTTACATACAGTTTTTAAACCGATTATTTAATCTTCTGATAGTTTTTGCAAAAGGAAGCAGCTCATCGGCTCTGTAACACACTGCACAACCTGACTGAAATGCCGTTCTCAAACTCTCCTCGTGTTCTTTCTTAGACGCGTTAACTATCAACAAAAACATAACAAAAACAAAGTCAAACGTTAATGCCCTGTTCAAAAATGAGGAATTAAGTACGTGAGAGTGGAAATTGGGGTGAGTATAAAAGAACAGCATGACAGCAAGGCCTGAAGGGCGACGGCTCCCGCAGGATACCCCGCATGCCTCTGGCCCACTGTATGGGAGAGAGCACGCAAGTCCCTTCCTCGCCCATTTTCTGTAATTTTGTGAGAGATTTCAGTTGAAATTCCGTATTATCCCGTTCCTCCTCCTTCCCTCGGCCTCCCTCCCTTCTCCTCCGTCGGCCTGCAATGACGGAAGTACCTGAAATGATGATAACTCGGAGGTCTTTGCTTTTGGCGTCGTGCAGCAGGTCCTCCCTGAGGGACTGCAGCATGGAGAGGGACAGGGCGTTCCTCTTCCTCGGGTTGTTCAAGACAATGTTGCTGTAAAAGCCGTTTCGTACAAAGAGGGTTACTATTAAACAAGAAAAGCAATAAACGCGCCCGGCGCCTCAAGCACGGGCCGCAGCGCTGCG